TTAAGTTATCGCTAGCTTTGGAGTATTATTTTCTGCATTAGGACTGCCAAGATACTTCCCAAGGATATGTTTATGACGTTGACAACGTCATTGTTGAGCTGAACATCGAAGGATAACAAAAAGGTGAGTAAAATTACTTACATCTCAGAGTAAACGTTAAGACATTTGTTCAGAAAAGTACATACCCAACGAAATCCTTCTTTCTCTTGAAGTGAAGCGCCTATTAGACTTTCACCAAAGTTTGCTATCTGGGCGGCTACTACACATATTGCAGCCCCAGGTACGTTAATCTGGAAAAAAAATCTGGTCAGAATACGGATGACGTCTTCCTAAGAGTTGAATCAAAGTAATAAACGAAAAAATGAAGAGAGGTTAGATCAAATGTTATTGTATCTGTCTCTCAGCACGGGCAAGACAAAGCTATAGATGTAGTGAATGTTTCGACAGCTAACTGATCCAAAATAAAATAAAATAAAGATATGCTAGATGGGCGAAAACAATGGAAATCTCTCTGCCTCGGGTTGCTCAGCCATAAACATTTGCAAGAATATCAGCCAAACAGGTAATATAATGCAAAAGTTTACCTTCATTGAAAATCACCCATGTCATAGTATATTCGGATAGAAAAATAGTTAGTACTCTTTTTTTCTAAAAATTCGTTAGTACTCTCTTTGTCTTAAACACTTCACATAATAATCACTCCAGCCTTGCACACCTTCATAGCATGAAAAACTCAATATGTTCACACAAATCCTAGAAGGGAAAGGAGAAGAATAGGATTGCTAAATGCAGACACTTTCAATTTACACTCTTTATGATTCTATCAACAAGGTTTCAAAAGGATACATTTGTAAGTTTAAAATAAAATAAAACTATGGTAACTTGGAGACTATCAAGACTGATATGATAATCATAACCTTCAGTCCTTGCCTGATTAGATACTGATAGGCAGTACGATCAACATTAATTGAGGGTGGAAGAAATATTTCAACAGCACTAACAATATCATATGCTATTGCTGCAAAAGGATGATCTTTTCTTTCTCACAACCTCGAGTAATAAGCCAAAAGTCCCATGAAAACATGAATCCCTGCCCATTGAGCCTGCAACAGTGCCACATTTAGTCCAAAACTTCTTTTCTGATAAAGAAGTCCAACACTTTCTTCTACAACTACTCTCTAGTCCCTATAACAAAATTCTATTACAGCTACTCCCCACAACAATTTCAATGTGTTTAGCTCCCAAATTTTTTTCTCCATCATTTCTGATCACCAAAATTCTTTAATGGCCTCAACCTGGACCATTGTAGACCTCAGGGGCTTAAGAGTTAAATCATGTGATAGAACCTAGATGCAAGAAAAGGCAACGTGACATTTTTGTTTCCATTTCCTAAAGCCCATAATAGACTAGTATCTCCAGGTTATTGTACTATATAAAACAAAAACTACATGGCACAAAGCAAAAAGTTTCAAAACTTAGAACCATTTATGGAAGGCATACCTGACCCTTTAGATAACCAACAAAAGCAAGGAGAACTGAAGCAAGAAGCCCAGCTAAGGTTCCCTCAGCACTCACAGCCCCTTCAGTACCCCGAGGCACTACCTTGAATGAGGTGACAAGATACCTGCAATTGTTATGCAAGTACTCAGCAGACCATTCTTAAAGAGGGCCATCTGCTCCTCCTGATGACTGAACTGAGCAAATAAAAGTGATAAGTGGTCTGAGTTGCTTATGATTTCCTTTCAAAGATGAAAACTTTGTAGCTACTATCTAAAATTGTATATGAACTACAATTCGCACAACACTTAAGTGTCAAATCACAGAGCTCATCACACACCTAACTACCTCAAATGAAAGTAAACTTATGTAAAATTGCATGTTGCAATATTGACGGGCAATTCCAGCACCTACGGGTGTGGCCTAATGGTCAACAAAATGGGTACAAAGTGCAAACGTTGGAGGCCATGATCCAAATCTCAACGGAGTTAAAATATTAGGTGATTTCTTTCCATCTACCTAAGACTTGATGGGTAGAGGTAACCGGTACATGCATTTATGGGAGGTAGCAAGTACCCGGTGAATTAGTAGAGGTACGTGCAAGCTAACTTGACCGGCAATTCTACAAAATTATGACACTTTTCTAGTCCTTGTTTTCAAAAGATAAATTTTGCGGTCTTCATTTTTACATGTAAAATACCTGTGTTTTTCACTAGGTCTTCAAAGGATAAATTTTCAGTCTTCATTTTTACATATAAAATACCTGAGTTTTTCACTAGGTCTAGAATTAAGAATTAACAGATCTCCATACAATAAAAGAATGTATTTCCAGTTTCTACGCAAACAAGTCTTTGTTTTCAGTTCATCAAATTCTTAGTAGTTAGCCAGAGGTGAAGAGGCTGTACTCACGTAGTTTTACCATATGCCTTTCCTATCTCGCTCGAGACAGTATCACTCAACTTGGTACAGAAACTGGCTACAAATGCAAGTTCCCACAGGCGAGTAAATGCCTCCCCACCAACACCATTAATTGATAAGAATGCACAAACACAACCGGCTGCACTAGAGCCTATCACGCTTCCAGGTCCTCTCCTTCCTTTCCTCTTCTCTGCAACCCCTTGAGCCTCTTTCTGAGCCATTTTCACCTTAGTCGCAGCTGTGCCCTGTTTGGTTTAACTTATTAGTCCAAGATTCCTAGCATCTTTTTATCAGAATCATCAGCCTAAGCAGGACAGAATATGCCAATTATATCCATCATTATTTCCAGTCGAAAGACATCCAAAGATTATCTATATTGAAGAATGTGACTATCTCATCTCAAATATTAAGTTGTTAGAAAGAGCACACATTTATTATATTTTCAATAGGACCCCCCACGTGCGGGCTGAATTCTTTTTTTTTTCATGAGTGAAGCACGTGGAAAACCTTTTTTTGACAATGGGGGGTAGTGAGATTAGATCCTAGGACCTTTGTCTGGACTGATACAACATCCACAAATAGATCTTCGATCTAAATCAACCCCACAAGCTAGCTCAAGAGGGAGGACGACTGCCTAAGCTATATAAGGAGTCCAAGAATCTCATTTCTCACCGATGTCAAATATTTCTCTTCAACAAACCCTTCACACACAAACCCGTTCCCGTACTAGAGTATGCACATTTATGGGCTAGCTTTTGAGGTTGAGTTAGACTCAAGATCCATTTCTTTTACATGGTATTAGAGCTAAGCCCATCACATGTAGCCCCCACACCAATTGAGGGGGGATCACCCCCCCAGTTCATGAATGTACACGCTCTAGTTTGGAAAATGATCTTGGCATAGGGAGATTGAAGAGAAATATTCTACATCGTTGAGGGATGAGTTATATGGCTTTGTCAATCTACTCCCTTTAAGCTAGCTCCTAGGGTGTGAGACCTAATTCGACAATCTAGATCTGTTAATATCAATACATTTTCATCTTTGCTTATAAGGGTTCCACTAATCAATCAAAAGGATGCAATTTCTCCTTCTTTGCTCTTCCAATTTTACTTATTATCAACTATTTCATTAACCAAACAAAAAATGAGGGATTTGCAAGCAAGCATTCATCATTAAGTATTCCACTTCATTTTCCCATTGATCTAAAATATACATAAGCATAACTTATACAAAGTTGAATCCTCAAAACAACACTTACACTACCAAAGTTCAAATTTTTACTTACAATAACAAAATATGTGGCAACAAGAAGAAACCCAGAGGAACCAAAAGCTCTCCAAGTAAGTGTACCAAGCAAGAAAGCAGCCGCAATACCAGAAAGTGACAATCCAGTAACTAAAAGTGGAGAACCCAAAGAAAAAATGATAATATTACTCAGCAAAGCAGATTGCCACGTGGGTGGTGAAGATTGAATCAATTGAATTGCTCTTTCGACAATTCCAAGATCAGACACTGATGCTTGTGCTTTCATTGATGATCTTTGATGATGTCTAGGGTTTAAAGTTGACAAATGAGGAAATTGGTCAAATGGGGTTTGGAGTTTTGAGGTTAAAAATGAAAACTTTGGTCTTTGAATATGGAGAAGTAATGGAAGTCTTGGTATTGAAAGAGTTGAAAAAGCCATTTTTAAAGAAGTTTTAGAGCTTCTCACGTAAGACTCCGGAAGCCGTGGAGTCGTCAATAAACCGGAACCAAGGTTCTTTGTTGGGGTAATTTGCACATTAGATCCTTGGATTTTGATGTGTATCATTTGTAAGCCCCATCATTTTTAAAATGTTACACAACCTAACACAAATTCAAAATTTTAATTTTGTGAATTCTTATAACACAACCTCCTTAAGCTTATATATTCGTTTTTTTTTTTGCACTAAATTAGACGTAAATCACCCAAAAATCCCCTATCCCAATACTTGCCTCATGCATAATGTTGTTTTTGGGAATTGAACTCACGATATCAAATAAAAAATTATAGCTCATAGTGAATAAATAATTTTATTTCTTAATTAAAATTTATCAAGTAAGCGTCGTGTTCTATCATGACTCAAACTCGGAACACCCAACCCCTGGAAAGCCTTGTCATAGGCAGGATATTAACATTATCTATCAATTTCATTTATTATTTGAGAACTCTTCTTGAGTTTTGGTGCTTGAAGATGAGATCTATGAGTAAAGTAAGATACCAACGAGTCTAAGAACTAAGTGTTCATTAAGGACTAATAAGCAAATAAGAAGTACCTCGTTTTTGTACAAATTCAAATTTAACAATTTTTTTTTTAAAAATAGAATTAAAATTTTTTATTATTTTTTGATCAAATAATAAATAAGATATATAATTATTAAAACAAAAGAAATAGTATATTAGTAAGTTTTAAATTGTCTACATCCAATATCTAATTTCACATCAACATTAATTTATACTTTGAATCAAGCAAAGTAAAATAGAAGGATTACTTTTTTTTTTTAAATAATAGTTTGCTCATAATATATGTAACAATCAATATAAATAACCCCTTCTATCTGTTCTTTTTTTATTTCTCTTATCCATTTTATACCATTGCAGCCATTTTCCATGGCTGTGCAATGCTCTTCTTCTGTAATATTTGCCTCACATTCACCAGCAAAAACCTTATCTTCCTCTCAGAATAAGACCCTTTTCTTGGGTTTCTCCATCTCTTCAAAGCCCTCCGTTGTTGTTGCTAAGACCCATCGAGCTACTCAAATTTCTTGTCAAGAAAAGACAGCACTTGTTCCTCTGGAACAAAGATGGATGTTTGAAGAGTCTGAAATTAATGGCCCTGTAAGTATTTTATAACTTTTCTTTTCTTTTTGTTGTTCATTACTTGTCTTGATTTTGTCATTGTTGCTCTGGGTTTTTTGGGGTTATTGTGGAAATTGAGGATTTTATAGACTACCCTTTTCTCTTCTGTACCTGAGTTTAGTCATTTAAGGTGTAAAAGACTTGAACTTTAGTCTTAATTTGATATGCATTTGGACTTTTAAGGCTCTGGGGTTGTTTTGAGCAAGATGCTATCTGTTTAGTTTTGGGGAGAATTTGCTATGTATAGGTCAGAGTTGAAAGTTGAAACCTAGGTAGCTGGAACATATACAACATACTCAATATAATTCGATAAGTGGGGTCTGAGGAGGTAGGGTGTATGCTTCATTACACCTTGTGAAATTTAGGGAGTCTATTTCTGAAGGACTCTCGGCCGAAAAGGAAATACACTAGTGAAAAAACCATGTTGAAAATAATGGAGAAAAGAACAGTAGCAATAACTAGCACTATGATGATCTAAGCAAAAGGTAATAGAAACAAACACGTGATAAAAAGTCGAAGAATAAGATAGTAGGAGAGTAAGACTAATACATCTGATAGGAAAAACTAGGCAACACTTGACTACTACTGCTTTGAATTCATTGAGAATCAAGAATTGAGCTCAGCTTCCAGTTAGAGGTACTTTCTCTGTGAAAACTGATAATTTTATAGACATTATTTTATAGACTATCCTTTTTTCTTCTTGAGTCATTGGAGGACTTAGTTTTCCACATTAAAAGTGTACAAGATTTCAACTTTCATCTTAATTTGGTATGGATTTGGACTTTGCTCAGGGTTGTTTTGAGCAATGCGTTGTCCATTTAGTTTTGGGGCGAATTTGCTAAGTTTGCGATTAAGAAGACATTTATAGGTAAGATTGAAACCTATGTAGTTGACACATATACCCTGCTTTTAAGTTCAATTGAGAATCAAGAATTGAGCTCAGCCTCCAGTTAGATAATTTTATAACTATCCTTTTTTCTTCTTGGTTCATAGGAGTACTTCGTTTTCGACATTTAACTTGTAAAAGACATCGGCTTTCTTCTTAATTTGGTGTTCAGTTAGACTTTGCTTGGGGTTGTCTTGAGCAAGTTGTTATATCTGTTTTTTTTGGGCAGTATTTGCTATGTTTGTGATTTAGAGGAGAACTATAGGTGAGAGTCGAAACCTAGGTTGTTGGCACAAATACCATGCTTTAAGTTCATTGAGAATCATGAATTGAGCTAAGCTTCAGTTAGTTGTTTCAGAGGTACTTTTTCTGTTTATCAGAACCTTACAGTTGATATCTTTGAGTTCTTCTTATTCTACCTAGGTGTTTATTTCTTCTCTGTCCACAATATACTACTTGATGTGGAAAGCAGTAGAATACAGAATTACCACAAAATCTGCTGTCCCATTTCATTTTAATCCCGACTACCTATGCTAGCTTTTGTTGATAATGCCTCAATGGTTCTTCTGATACCTGAAATACGAGATGGCAAGGGCCATATCAAACTAATGTAGAGCAATTATCACCGACTCGTAGTGATTAAAAGCTCAGGCAGCATTAAAAGGAAAATAAAAGGGGGAAAGGCTGCGGGCCAGTACTTTTGAGAAGTGAAATTAACAAAGAACGTATTTCCTTGCTTTAATTATGCTTCAGTACTTCGACAAATCTTTTGATCTTAATGAGTGCATAGAAGAGTTTTTATCTGATGGATGTCATTGTGTTTTTCCTGCATCCAGGACATTTGGAATGAAACATGGTATCCCAAGGGTGCAGACCATGTGAACACAGACAAACCTTGGTACATTGTTGATGCCACCGATAAAATTCTTGGAAGATTGGCATCAACTATTGCAATACATATCAGAGGGAAGAATCTGGCTACATACACTCCAAGTGTGGATATGGGTGCATTTGTAATAGTGGTATGTTCCTGTGCTAAATGCTTGTTCATTTCTCTGCATTGTCATTAGAAAGAAGAAGAGAACCGGACAAGTCCTACTTTTCGTATTAGGACTTTCTGGTTCTATTAAGGCCTCTCTTTGACTCTAAAAAGAATATAGGACATGTAGTCTTAAAAGACTATGATAGTAGGTAATAGGCCATGAAAATATAATGTGGAAATTGAGTTTTTTCCCTTTTACATTATCATGATAAGTGGTGACTCCACCTTAACTTTACGCTAGTACGTGCATTCTCCGAAGGTTTCTTCATTTTGCAATGTTCTTCCTTTTTCATAATTGTTCGAGTGGCAATATCTGTTCTGTTCTAGTTCCCCAGCTAATATAGAATATTTAAGTATAAGTTTTTGAATTATATAGGTCTGGTTTAAGAAATTTGGAAGTACTTCTGTGCTCTTTTAATTTTCTATTCAAGCAAACCTTAAATTTCGTCCCTTTGGAACCGTTTTTGTTTTTAAAGAAAAAAACAGCAACAGGTCCTTTCGAGGATATTCAATATAAAAAATTCAAGATATCCAGACAGTATGGTATTGATTTTAAGGTGTGCCATCAATTTTTTGACATGCAGATCACTCTGCTTCTATAAGGTTTATTAAGAATGGAATGTGATTTCTATTTAGAGGTCCACCGCTCTCCTTATCCTTTCTCTTTTCCTCCTATCTGAATATTGTTGATTCATGTATGGTTTTGCATTATGCATATTTTATATTCAACTATGTTGAGATTTCTTTGTGCGTAAGAACCTTGGTGATGCTCAATCGTTCTATTATCTCTTTGCTGAGATGAAATTTGTAAGACACTTCTAATGCCGCCTTCCGGAGTCACCTAAGTAATAGAATATGGATGTTGTCAATTTATCTTTTCTGCCTGCTTGATAAGTGTCCATTTCATCATTGAGTTGCTAATTTCACTCTATAACCGTAAAATCATCCTTCTCTCCTTTAAATGTAAACTATTTGCTATTGCATGGTTGCTTTAGTATCTGAGCAATTGTCTTTGTAATTGAACATTAAAAGGTTAATGCTGAAAAGGTTGCTGTATCTGGGAAGAAGAGGTCCCAAAAGCTTTACAGGAGGCACTCGGGAAGACCTGGTGGGATGACGGTAGAGACTTTTGATCAACTTCAACAGAGAATTCCAGAAAGAATCCTTGAGCATGCTGTCCGTGGCATGCTCCCGAAAGGGAGAGTAAGTCTGTGTTACCTTTTCTCGAGATTCCATTCACTCGATGACCTGTAGTGATGTTTCTCTGCTGTGTCAATTAAACCAAGAAGATGTTGGACAGTGTCCTCATCACGTTGGACTAGGAAAACCAGAGTTAGGGACTCCCGTACTAAAATTCCATTTCCTCTAGCATTAAAGCTGTTTCTGATAGACCCTCGGCTTAAAAGGGAGGTTATTTATAATCGCGCCGACTTTACCCCTACCACACGTTCGAAGGGCAGGAAAAAGAAGGAAGGAAAAATCATTTTTTTGTTTGATAAGAGAGAGGAGAGGAAAACAAGAAAACTCTCTCACTCTCTCTTCTATTTTCTTTTCATGTACCAGTCCTAAATTGTTTGTTTGTGCAGCTTGGTAGACAATTGTTTAACCATCTTAAGGTGTATGAGGGTCCAGATCATCCTCATGACGCGCAGAAGCCAATCGAGTTGCCTATACGAGACAAGAGAATTCAAAAGCAACGGTGAACTCTAGTTTCCATGAAACGTCATCGAGAGATCAGCCTGCAGTTTCACATTTCCCATTTCTTAGCTGTTTTTTGTTATCCAGTACAAATTTATTTGATTCCAGAGCTCTTGTTTGTGTAGGTTTGTTAAGCAAATAAGCATTCATCTTCTGGTTTCAGTTTTGTATGCGAAATTTGCAATATTTTGACCTTCGTCTATAGTTTGGTCTAACTATGTCTTTACCGTCACTTCTTTCAGTTTGGTTTCCATTCATTGTTCGGAGCCTGTAGTTGAGTCCCACCCCACTAAACCCGGATCACTGCAGGGTCCATTCGGGTGAGTCTCTCAATAAGAGCTTTTTCATACCCAGGGCTTGAACCTCCTTATCGTTACTTAGTTGCTTCATTATTTCACAAATGACGTCAGCTGGTACAATTAGAAGACAAGTTAAACTTGTGAGTGTAAAACCCCAACCCCATGACCAATCAGGTAGTATCTCGTTGTTTGATAGTTGGTTAGAACTTAAAATTATGTAAAAAAAGAAAATATATAAAGTGACACGAGAAACTGTCTCGAATTTTTTTTTAAAAAGTTTATGGTGGGTGGGTGTACCCCCATTAAACCATTTCAAATCACAATAGATGTTCACTTTTTTGATCCATCTTTCACATTTGTGTTCACACATTTGATGGGCACATAGAGTAAACTACACTCAAACCAGTGTTAAAATATCACGTGGCATTGCCAAATTGAATTTTCTTTTTATTATATCTCCCATGAAATCGTTTCAAGTCACAATAAATGTCAACTTTTGATCCATTTTCACATCATGGTGTAAAAATACCCCCTCGAACTAGTGTAAAAATTTCACGCTGTCGTGTAATAATTCATCGTACCAATTCACTTTTTTGAATATTATTTTATTAGATAAATTTTTGATTAATCATTATATAAATTGTATGTTTTATTTAAATCTCTTGTATATTTAATTATCTTTTATGCAATATTTTTGTAATATTAATTTTAGATATAAAATTTAGATTTTTTATAAATTATTTTTTCTATATATAACTTTTTAAAAAATTTAAGAAGTTACTTGATATATTAATTTCATGTATTATAATGTGCAACATGATAATTGAGGATGAGCGTGATGTTAATGCACCTATTTAAGATGCGTCGAATGGTACAACTTCGGCCGTAGAAATGACAAGATGAAAAATTATCAATTTCAATAATTTTTAACTCGATATAAAAAAATAAAGGACAGACAAGCTCATTTTGAACTATGTAATGCATTAATAGAGCATTATGCGAGCATCGTAGTGATCTTGAAAGTTGAATATTTATATAGAATTTAAAATAAAATTTTAATTATATAATGGTTATTTAATTGTATTTCGTTAATGATTTCACATTTACTTGTATTATCCATTATTATGTATAATGTATAACATTTGCTAGCAATTTATATTATTTAAAAAAATTATGGTAAATAATAATTTTATATTAAACAATTATAAAATAAAATAATATAAATTATATATGGTGAATGCTTTAGAGAGGACTTGTTTTATGAAATAAGAAAATACAAATGAAATAACAAATAATAATATAATAATAAAGAGAGAGAAAAATATTCCCTTTTTAATGTAAAAATTGATACATTGGGTTGGAATTGATCACATCAAAAGTGGTGATGACGCCTTATTTGATGTAAAATTTGATGTTTTGATGGGAAATGCCCAAAGGATTAAAATGTGAATGAACCAGGATTTATTTGATCTTTTACTAAATGAGTTGGAAAAGAATAAATAATTATATTATGCATTTAGAATACAATTCGTGTAAAATGTGTGTATTTATTTTAATTTGGAATGTTTCGTGGGGTAATAAAATGTCCACAAATATAAGATATTTTTTAAATAATTTTAAATATCTTTTCATGTCCGTTCTCTAAAATTAATAAACACTTTATTTAGGATAAATAATGAAATAACTAATATATAAATAATTAAATTCTATTAAACCTATTTCTGAAATTAAAAAAATACACAAATTTTCTCGTAACTGAATCTTGAATTATTAATAGCGACATAACTCTGATAAACCACCCAACAACTCTTTTAAGGTACAATTATTGTCAAAATTTTAACGAGAAGGGGTAGATCGATAGATACATAAAATAGAAAAAATATATTTTCTATCTGACCAAGTTGATTGCTCTAATCGCAACTTCATAGATCTATTTTTTTAATCATGTCTGATACTTATACTAGAGTTCAATTATTCTGAATTTGTGTCATATAATTAAGGTCTCATCCAAGAGAAAACACTCTCCTTCAAAGATATTTCTATACACAAGATTTGAACTCAAGATCTCTAGTTAATTTTATTTTTTTCTAATTCTTTCATTTTTTGTTACTATACCAAATTATAACAATTTGTTTATGTCATCAATTCCTGCTTATTAGAGTTCTTTTTAAAAAATAAATAAATTATGAATTAAGTGACATGAATAGTAGAAATATATCGTCGTGCATTTATGAAAATTAAATATTGAAAAAAATTCCAAAAGGGTAATATGAATTTTTTTAAAAATCAAAACGATAAAATCGCTGGTGATATAGCGATTTAGGTGGATGGAGTTAAGGAAAATCGCTGCAGTGTAAATTTTTTTTTGAAAATTATAAATCGCTGCATGTGCAGCTATTTTACTTATTATTTTTTTTTAATTTTGAAGTAAATCGCTGCCTTAGCAACGATTTTACTTAATTTCTTAAAAAAAAAAATTTTGAAGTAAATCGATGCCTTCGGCAGCGATTTCACCTATTTAAATTTTTTAAAATTTTTTTGTCGTAAATAAATTATAGTTAGCCAAAAAAATTCACATTATCAAACTTCCAAATTCACATTTCACATCCAGACATAAATATAAACATGCATGTGAATTTTTTTTCCTACAAATTTGCATGTTAATTTACTTCAAAATTTTTAAAAAATAAAATTAAGTGAAATCGCTGCCAGCGATTTACTTCAAAATTTAATAAAAAATTAAATAAATAAAGTTTACTTCAAAAAAATATAAAAAAAAAATTTAAAGTAAAATCGCTGTATAGGCAGTGATTTATAATTTTTTTAAAAAAAATCATTTACCGAATCGCTGCCTTGGCAGCGATAATTTGTAAAAAAAAATTAAAAAACAAACTTTATAAATCGCTGCTACTGCAGCGATTTACCTTAACGATACCATCTAAATCGCTACATCACAATGATTTTACCATTTTAATTTAAAAAAATTTCCATTTACCTTTTTAAAATTTTTATCAATATTTTTTACCCTTTAATTTCGAAACTCATTTTTATATGAAATTGACAAAGTCTATTACGATCCACTCAAAAAACAATAATTGAAACAATAGAGGAACACCATAGAAAATATAAATAAAGATAATTCACAATTTATAAGATATTCTTAATAATTCGAAATTTTACTAGACTTTGACTCCTTATATCGAATGTTCACTCGTTAAATGATTAGCCCAAAAAGATACGTTACATCACGGTCACATGAACATTTTCTATTCATATAATATTTAATTAAATATGTAAACATTTTTTTTATGTTATAAAATTCATTATTTTTTAATCATTCTTCATGATAAATATGTTAAAGATTGTATTTGAGATTGAGTTATTTAAGTTATTAAAAAAGAGTTCGTCCAAAAAAGAAAAAAAGAAATACACAATTAAAAATTTGGCTAAAATTGTTTATGTGATTAAAGAGGATGAAATTTATTATTTTGGCTAAAGTAATTCACGTTTTCTTAAAGATATTTGGACTGAAAAAGAAGAAATAAACCATTGAAACAAATAACAAGTTGCACCTAAATAAGAATACAAAAAATATAAAGTCTAAATGTATGATATAATAAGAAGTAAGAGATAAAGGCATATTTACAATTTTGAGATGATAGGTGTATTATTACAAAAAGGTGGGATCTAAAATATAAATTTGATCGATTTAACATTAAGTTTTAATCACTGAAAATCATTAAAAATTTGAAATTGAAGGTTTAAAATTATCTTTTTTCTATTCAAAACCACTTAGAGGGGAGTTATTCAATTTAATAAAATAAAATAAATAAAAGATTTAAATTTCTAGCCTCACTTAAAGAGTTGCATTCAATCATCATCTAACGACATTATATGATACTTTAAATGCGAGTTTACTCATCTATATTTAATTTTCTTTAAAAAAAATATAACATTAATATGTATAATTTCAAGAAGAAAAACATGAATTCATTTAAATCCAATTACTTCTACAATACGCCTTTGAAGACATCCGCAATGTGAAACAAATAAATCATTTGACGTATATGGTTATGTACCAATTAAATATTTAAAATATTTTATTTAAAAGCTGTTGTTATTTTTTCGTATTTCTTCATTTGATTCTACCTCTTAGTCCTATGATTTAGCCATTTATTTCCTTTTATTTGATTCGTACTATAATATATATTTATGGAACCTCATCAAAGGTCAAATTAGTTAAACAACTAATTATTGTTTCACAAAATTAATATTATTGAGATTTTATTATCTCGCTTAATCTGAGTTGAGCGAGCTAATATTTGTTACTTTGTTTCTCTTTCAAAGGAAAAAAAAATGTACATAAATAGTTGAAAATTGAGTAAAGAGAAGATTAAGTAACTAACCTTAGATTGAATAATGTGATGAAGACTTTGATCAATTATTGAGGAAACACAACTATTAACCATAAGTCCTTCCATAAGAAATTTAAGAACTTTTAATAGAAAAAGTCTTCATTTTATTGAAATTTCCACTTGATTAATGCATAATTTCACTATTATTTTATCTTCATCATCATCACTATAAATAATATTATTCAATTTTTCTCTTTTTCTTTCCAAGTCCTCTATGTCCTCCTTCAAGTCTTTTACATAATCCACAATCTCTTATAGTTGATCAGATATAGCTCTTTTTCCCTATATCATCATTTAATAAAATAATTAGATTTATATACTATAAGGTTTACCATAAAACCTAATTCTTGAAAATTAGAATTGGTTAAGAGTGTGTTTGGTATGAAGGAAAACAATTCCTAGAAAATTTATAAATTCACATCAATTAGAGACTCTAATAATATATCCCCTAGCTTATATGTAAAATTGAATATTTAAAGCGTAAATAATATAACACGAAACTTACTATCAGGTAAATAAAA